CCCTTGTAGCCCTCTGCCGATTTGAACGACTCGGTCGATTTCTTCGCATCGGGCGCTTCTTCGGCGACCTCCTCCTTGAGGGTGGCGAGTTCCCCAGAGGCGATGATTGCTGTGGCATGGCCGCGCCACTCGACCCCGCACTCATAGGCCCGCTGGAAGGAGGTGCCGATGGTGATGACCCCATGGGGGCCCGGCATCTTTGGCTTGAGGTATGTGTAGTTGGGGACAGCCACGAACTTCGCATAGCAGGGTCGTCCTAGGATGGCGTGGAAGGTTCTAGAGAACCCAACCACCTCAAAGGTGAGGGTCTCAGTCCTATAATTGAACTAATCCACAAAGGTAATGAGCAGATTGATCTGCCTGAGTGGCATGGCCTGCTTCCCGGGCATGATGCCGTGGAAAGGCGCTCGGGTGGGGTGGAGGCGCGTCCGGTCGATGCCCATCACGTCGAGTGTCTTGGTGTACATGATGTTGAGGCTGCTGCATCGGTCCATCAGTACTTTGGTGAGTCGCTTTGGGCCGACGATCGGGTCGACCACAAGCGGATATCTCCCTAGGTGCGGGACGATATTCGGATGGTCGGTCCGATCGAAGGTTATGGTGGATTCCGACCACCGAAGTAAGGGAGGTGTGGCCGGTTGGGCCGTGTAGACTTCGCGGCGTGCGACCTTCTGACAGCGTTTGGAGTCGTAGGCCGCTGAGCCTCCGAAGATCATAAGGCATCCGTTTAGTGTTGGAAAGCCGTCGTCCTTCTCCTCAGCGTCATCCCCTTTGTTGGAGCTTCCAGACAAGAACTTCTGCATAAGGCCGTAGTCCTTGAGCAGATGCTTTACGGGAAAGGCGTGGTTTGGGCATGGCCCCTCGAGTAATTTTTTGAAGTGGTTCGGAGTGCCCTCCGTGGGCTTTCGACCACCCTTACGGTCAGCAGCGACCACAAGCGAGTCCTCGCGCCGTTGCTTCTTGTTCTTCCTTTTGGCAGAACGATTAGAGGTGCCTTCGCCGGCACCCTTGTCCCGCCTTGCCTTGCCCTCGAGGTGATCAAGGATCGCTCCGACCGCCTCTTCTCCTGAGGCATGGCTGGTGGTGATGTCTAGGAGTTCCTTGGTGGTTCACGGGCCCTTACGTCCCAGCTTATGAACCAAGGACTCGTAGGTCATCCCGAACAGGAAGGCTACTATTACATCGGCGTCGGCAACGTTAGGGAGCTCATTGCACTGCCGGGAGAAGCACCGGATGTACCCGTGGAGGGTCTCACCGGCCTTCTAACGGTAGTTCTTGAGGTCCCATGGGTTCCCAGGGCGCTTGTACGTGCTCTGAAAGTTTCCCACAAAGATCTCCTTCAGATCCGCCCAACTCTGGATTGCATTGGACGATAGGTGTTCCAACCACGCTCGTGCCGAATCGACCAATAACAGTGGAAGGTTACGGATAATGAAGTCGTCATTATCCGCACTACCGGCTTGACAGGCAAGCCGATAGACTTCAAGCCAAAGTCCAAGGTTTGTCTCCCCAGAGTATTTAGGGATATTGGTAGGTGGTTGATACCTTAGCGGGAATGCAGCGTTGAGGATGTGCCGGCCGAAGGCTCAAGGCCCTAGCAGGCCAGGGCTCGGGCTCCGGTCCTCGCCGCTGTCGTGCCAGGGCTCGGGCTCCGGTCCTCACCGCTGTTGTAGCGTCTGTCACATCGACGATGATAGCCACGGCGGGCTCCTTCTCTTGGGTCGCTGTAGGTGCGTCTGCGGGCGTTGATGGTGCTGCGTGCGTCACGGTTGTGGCCGAGACGCTGATGTATCTGGGCCGTAGAGCGCTGCCTGTCGCCTTGTGGTGCTTGGTGGACTGATGCATCCCTGGCGGGACTCATCGAGGGCGTACGCTGGCTGGTGTCGAGCTCGTGTCGCTGAGACAATGAGCTTTCCGCCTGCTGCACCGCCGCACGCTCGAGCAGCGTGCGTATTTCACGGTGGGCCCAACAATCCTCGGGCGTTGCGGCCTCTGGAAGGCCATGAAGCAAGGCTGTTGCGGCGGCGATGTTCTGGCTTGCCCGAGCGAAGTGAGGAAGGGTTTCATCATCGGCGATGATCCTTCAGTTTATGTCATGAGCCACGGCGCGTGCGCGCCCACCGTTTCCGCGGCGTTCGATCTCCTAATTGACCTCCGCGTACTCCCGAACAAGCTGTTGTCCGGCTTTGTCTATCACCCGCTTTTGGGCTCTCAGCTACGTGAGGTGGGGCCACTGTCCCCCCTTTGGTTCTGCCACCGAGGTTGCCTGCCGGAGTAGTATCCTCCGCGGAGACGCTTTCGATGTGTCCCTCGGGGGTTTCCGCCATGAAACATTCCCGGGAGGGGTGATGGCTCCCCCTGCTAGAGTCAGAGCTAGAGTCCGACCCTGGCCCCTCTGCGAGGAGGCCGTGGAGGGATTCCATGACGCTTTCGATCATCCCCATGAACTCATTGTTCATGAGAGACGGGATCGTGCGCTGTGCCACAAGGTGGCTTACGGTCGCCGCGGCGTCGCAGAGATCGAACAGAAGCGCCGTCAAGGCGCTCCGTGCGGAGTGTTCCGGAGAAAGGGTGAGGTGGCGTGGGTACTCCCTAGACGGCTGGGTCCGAGGGAGACGTCGGGCTGGCGCTCAAGCCTCCCGTAGCTGAAGTCGATGGAGGGGAGAGATTGGATGGCAACGTCGGCCAATGCCAACTCTCCTCCCACTGTGACGATGAAGTCCAGGTCACCGAAACGCACGTGTGCGCTCGGGACCCAGCTGATTGCGTGGCTAGCCATTCGAGGCCTGATTTGGAACGCGCAAAGGCCCCTACCTGGCGCGCCAACTGTCGGTGTTTCAAACAAACACCGGCTAGTAAATTTATAATTATTGCGCGTTAGGCTCGAATGGTGTACTAAAGGACACAAGGTTTATACTAGTTTGGGCAGAACATCTCTACATCTAGTCTGCTGCTGCTCGTGTTATTAGTACCGAAAACGGTTTGTAGTAGGGGGTACAAACGGTCGAGAGAGGGACGGGTCTCAAGTCTCTGATGGAAATGTTGAAAGGACGCCAAGAGCTCGGTTGCTTCTTGGTTGTGTCTTGTGTGTCAAAAATGATCGGTCCCCTTAGTGGGGTGCCCTGCCCTCCCTTTTATTGACCAAGGGGGGAGCAGGGGTTACAGACGAGAGAAAGAGGAAAAAACCAAAGGTAGAGAAGGTCCTTTGAGGGAGCCGGGTCTTCCTTTTCCCTTGTGCCTGCCCTGCTAACATGGCAGGCCATGCTAGGAATGGTGTGTTCGTTGATCCTCATAGGGCTGTGCCCTGGCCTCTTTCAGCAAGTGGGTGCGTCCCATCCTGCACCGGCGGACGGTGCGGCGTGCCAGAGAGCCGAGCTGTGACCCTTCGGGGAGTAGACGGGGAAGTGACCATACGTCCGTCACTGTGGATGATGCGAGCTCTGTCTTGGATCATACTGGTTGTTGTATGCTTGTGTTAGTATCCGCGTTCGAGGGCTGATGGCGGCGCCAACACTGTGGGACAAAAGTCGGCGCCTACAACACTGTTTGGGCTCTGTCAGGTCAGAAAGGGCCTAAAGCGCCTGTCCCGTCGTATCCTGACAGTACCTTCCTGCAAGCATGCAGGGCATGGCCCTCGGTACTACGGTTGACTCGAATGTCTTGTCGTACCCTGTGCTCATATTTATGAAGGAACAGGGTGTAGCCGTCGGGCGAGGTGGAGCCAGTCCTCAGCCGTCGGGCGAGGCGGAGCTAGCCCTCAGACGTCGGGCGAGGCGGAGCCAGCCCTCAGCCGTCGGGCGAGGCGGAGCCAGCCCTCAGCCGTCGGGCGAGGCGGAGCCTGCCCTCAGACGTCGGGCGACGTGGAGCCAGCCCTCAGGCATCGGGCGAGACGGAGCCTGCCCTCAGCCGTCGGGTGAGGCAGAGCCTACCCTTAGCCGTCGCGCGAGGCGGAGCCAGCCCTCAGCCGTCGGGCGAGGCGGAGTCTTAGCCCTCGGGGGTCGGGTGAGGCGGAATCAATCTTCCGTTGTTCGGGCAAGAAGTGTAGTAGCATTTTTGTCTGACCGAAAGCGTCAACGTTCGATGGTTATTAATTCCACCTCATCGGGTACCCCGGTATTAGGTCCCCGACAACGCCCATCCCATGCTCCAGCAGCCATCCCGCAACCCGCGCCCATCCCCAAGCCCCACATGGGTCCCAGTCACCTGCCCCGCTTGCGGATGCGTGCCGCGGAGGCGTCTGTCGGCCTTAGGCATCCACATGGTGATCCACAGCGGTGCCCCCAGTAGCAGCAGTAGGGCGGTTGCGGCAGATGAAACATATGATCTCCCAGATCTACTTTTAAAACATCTAGATAAAACACTTGCAACATACGTCTGAAATAGATGAAACACTTGAAATATACACTTGAAACATGCGTGTATAGCCAGCAAACACATGCAACATCGATATCTACTTTAACAACATCTAGAAAAAAACACTTACAACATGAGTCTGAAATATGTGAAACGCTTGAAAACAAACGTTTGAAATATGTGTTAGATGCATCTATAGTCTCGATGTGACCAGATGTTACAACTACAAATGAGTTGTACATGAATTAATTTCTGGTATGATGATTGATGGAGTCCACATTTTTCCTCTATCATCACTGAGGAGCAGAAAATTTCTACAACCAGCAATACTGATAAAACTAGTTCATATTGAGATTATGCAGTTTGCAACCAGTACTGATGAGCCAAGAGTGGTTCATGTTGTGCTCGAGAAGGCGAATCCAGTCCCTTGCAATGCATCCTCAACGACCTTGTCCAGCCTCTGCGCCATCTCCAGCGTCATGTGATTGCTCCAGTCCCCGGCAACTCCTTTCCTGAAGAAGCTTTCGTTCTTGGTCCCCAACCTAGTGCTTCCATTCCTGTTCACCTCCATGTTCCTCAGCTTCCCCAGGCTACACAGCTCCACGATGGCGCTCACCACCCCATCCTCCTCCTCTTCCTCAGAAAACTCAGCCCATGAACTTCGCTAGCTTCCTAACGTGCGCCTCAGGCTCAAGCAACATCTCCTCGTACCTAAGGAACAACACCCTTTCAGGCCTCCTCAAGCTCTCCTCCCAGTACTGGAGGACGTGCAGCCACTGCGGGCCGCCCGGACACCGGCCATCGCAGAACAGCTCCAACGCCTCCTGGATGGTGAACGACCGGACGTCAAGTCCCCTCACCGCCGCCGCCTTCCTCGTGAACAGCCAGTAGGAGACCAGCGCGTCCTTGGGTTCCCGGCAGACATACACGATCCGGCACCCCAAGCGCTCCCCGTCCTCGGTGATGCTGCCGGGCAGCAGGGAATAGGGAAGATGCGTAGCGAGCACGCGCGGGGACGGGAGCGCCTCGAACTCGTCCTTGTTCCTGTCGTTGAGTTCGATCTCGAGGAACCGGACGCACTCGTGGGGGCTGCGATGGCGCAGCGGGTGGTCGCCGTCGGACGGCGGGTGCGTGGAACGCTTCAGCGTCGCGAAGGCAAGCGCCTTGAACTAGGTGGTGTCGGACTTGGGGAAGCTCGCGAGGATCACGTCGGTGGGCCTTGGCACGAAGCAGGAATGGACGGCTGGCAAGCCCTCCTTCGCTGTGACCTCGGGCAACCAGAAGCCGCCGGCGTAACGGCAGAGCGCGAATGGTGGCCACCTGGTCTCGAGGGGCGGCGCCGAAGGGATGATCCCGACTACGTCGGCATGAGGCGTCATCACCAGTGTCGCGTCTTCTTGTGCGTCATTCTCTGGCTGTCTGGAATCCATCGTGCGTGCTACCGAGATGGATTTCACGACACGTCACTTGCAGTATGTGTCCAGTTTGCTTGTTGCGGCCTGCATGTAGATGTAAGTGTACCTCAAAAGAGATGTAACAACAAAACCTGTATGGGGAACTTAAGATATAGTAGTGTTGACAACAAAAATATGACTAGGAAGTCAAAACATAGACCGAGAAATGAAATATAATTGAAAAGCATCAAAACTAGGCCGAATTTGCAAAGTAGCCGGTTTTGTCGTGGATGTTTCGGACGAAAAACGAATGTCAAAACTGCATAGTAGCCGACTTGCTAGTCAGCCTCACGTGTGTGGCCTCGGATGATAAGTCCTAGCTAATCACGTCAACAAGTAGTACATGCAGTCTGCATCTGTGGAGCTAATCACGATTCCCAAACGTCTCGCCAACGAAGAATGTGCTCCATGATTGGCAGTGGGTTCGTGACATCAAAGGAGTGCAAGTGTTGGTCGACTATATCCTCCGTGTCTACAACTCCCAATCGTTGGCCAGAAAGAAAGGTGGGAGATCGAGGGGAGACTAGGCTCGCAGACATCTCACCTTGCATGTTTATGGGAAAAAAGACAAGAGGGGGAAAGATTTTGCGCACCCGGGAAGAACACGGCGACGACGTGGATGGAGGCAGGCAGGTCCTGTCGGCGGTCGGCGAAGAACTTCCTGGCGTTTCCCTTATATATATACTCATATATATCAATCTGCAGATCTAGCATTGGATTTGGATACAGTCCTCGCGGTCCGCGTGGGGAAATATTGTATACGGCCATACGGCATACGCCACTTTCACGTCGCCGGTCGCCGCCACGCCCAGGCCCGGCCATTCTCTCTTTTTTCTATTCTGCCCGCGAGGCTGCGACCGTCTTCTTCTGGCCAGTGGATTAATTCGTCAGGCCCAATTGGCTTTGTCCTTTCGGCATTCCGCTATTTTCCTTGTTCCTTCACTGGCCGAGAAACTATTAATAAAAATAGAAAACTACTAATATAAATTTTGTATCCTAAGCTTCTATATAATTTGACTAATTACGGATTAAAATTTGTAAAATTTCATTTTTTTTCCTTATACAAAACACGCTTATCATTCTGGATGGAGGGAGCAAATTGTAGCGGGTACAAAAACTTGTTGCGTGATTACTTAGGCACGCCCATGCTAGCTATAACGAGCTAGCCATCTTTGTTGGTTTTTATTGGACTTCGGTCAACCTTATTTCAATTAAATCAAATAAAATTTATAAGGTCCATAAGCCTCTGTGCAATAAAGTACTATTCCCATATGTGAAATTAACTGAATATTGTTTCATCTTAAATAAATGGCTATTATGTATATTCAGCCTGTTCATTTCAGCTGAAACGATCGTGGATTATTACTACTGGCTGGTTTGGTGTGAGAAAAAAATATTGTTCTGACTTATAATCCACGATCGTTTACGATCAAGCGAATAGACTGATTATGTGCATTTGGTATGAGGTTAAGAAAGGTGGAAAGCAAGCTGCACAGTGGCGCCAAGTCATGAGTTCGTATCATGGAAGTGCAGTACATAAGTATTTAGATAGTAAATTATTTTAAATAATTTTTAGAGTTTGTTATTATTTTAAAAATACTTGTAATAAGACTTTTAAAATTTATTTGTCTTACGCTTTGGTAAATTATATATCTGCACAAGGACATGCTACATATAGGCCTTATTTGGTAGAGCTCCGTTCAACTTCGGTTTCAACTCCTTCATGCACTAGAGCAAGGAGCTATTTTTTTCTCTTAAAATGAATCAGTATTCATTGAAATCGCTATTTTTTGTTCTATTGGTTCTAGCTCCTCCGTGTATTGTAGCAAGAAATCGGAGATGTTTGTTGATGTGTCAAACGAGATTATATTGCTAATAAAAGAATATACTGAACTGGACCATCCTAGACTAAAATCCAGGTTATGCTACTGTGCAGAGGGTATCAAGGAAAGCATAAAGTCACTATGACCATATGCTGAAAATTGTCTGGTGTTGTATTTGCATGTTCACCTGGTGGACATAGTTAACCGAGGGCTAAGCAATTCTTTATACATGAGACACGTGAAGGGTGGATCAAGCACATGATGGAAACATATTCTCGAAAAATGGATTAGTACGCCGTTTCTCCCGGCGAATACGCGCGGCACAGGGTGAAGGCAATACAAATCGATGGGCTCAAAGAAACAATAACTAAAGAGAGAGCCGTCATGGGCCGAAATCACATTTGTATGGGCCAGAAAAGAAAAGGTCCACCACACCTCCCTTAACTTTCACGAAAGTCCGTTTTTCCTCTCTGAACTCCAAAACCGAACAAAACACATTCCTCAACTTTTAAAACCGTTCATCTTACCTCCCTGGCCCAGTTCTAAGCGGTTTTAAAGGCGGTTTTATCTTTTTCTTTTTTATTTATTTTGCCTAAATTTTTGAGAAATCATAGTAAATCACATGAAAATCATAAAATGGAAAAAATCCAATTTTCTTGGGCTCTACATGAGTAGATCTACACAGTGAATATATAATATGGTATACCTTAGCACAAAGTTTTTGTTGTATTTTTAGATCTATGCTTTTCTGTAATTAAATAGAATAATTCATAGCTACAGTTTTTGTGATCCAATTGTGGTGAAATTTTTATGGTGGGATCATTATTATATGTTTAAACTGTAGTAAAAAATTTCATACTCATTGGATCATGTATAATTTAGTTATAAATTTTATTTAGGTTTATGCTTGTTAAATATAAATAAATCTATAACTAAGCTATATATGATCCAATGAGTATGAAATTTTTACTACAGTTCAATCATACAACAATTAGCCCACCATGAAAAGTTCATCATAATTGGACCATAGAACTGTAGCTATAAATTATTCTAATTAATTACAGAAAAGGATAGATCTAAAACCACAACAAAAACTTTGTACTAAAGCATACTATATTATATGTTTACTATGTAGATCTACTCATGTGGAGTCCAATAAAATTAGATTTTTTATTTTATGATTTTTTCTGTAATTTACTACGATTTTTGAAAGATTTAGCCAAAATAAATAAAAAAGATAAAGATAAAAACCGCTTTCAAAACTACTTATAACATGGTCAGGGAGGTAAGATGAATGGTTTTAAAAGTTGAGGGAGACGTTTTGCTCGGTTTTGAAATTCAGGGAGGAAAAGTGAATTTTCACGAAAGTTGATAGAGGTAATGTGGATTTTTCTGGCCACAAACGACTAACCGCACCGAACGAACAGCAGCGGAAACAAATCAACTGGGCCTGTGAGTCGTCGGAGCGGGCTTCCGGCCCGGCAGCAAAAAAGCCCAGACAAAGAACTCTTTTGTTTGTGCTGGACGGGACAAACGGCGCTGCTCTGTCGTTCGTACGGCGCCGGCGCCGGCAGCAGCACTTTCCGGCATGCGAAAGTAGGCGGCGGCGAACAGCATGTTCGGGAGGCCGTATCGTATCGTGGATTATTTATTGCTGGCTGGTTTGATATGAGAGAAAAACACTGTTCACAGCTGAAAATTTACGATCGTTTACGAGCAAGCGAACAGGCTGGAAATGCTCCTCGTTCGCTTTAACTTATCAGCTTGACTTATCAGTTATGCTATAATATTTTTCTCTTATATTAAAATAACATTAATCCGCCGTAGATACCATTAGCCGTTTTTTCCGGAAGAAATAACACACTCCATCTACGACCTGGTACAGTCTGCCCCGTCCTGCCATTTTTTTCCCGAAATAGCACACCACTCTTGGCCTCCTTGCCGACGAACGAATCGATTCCCCGAGCCCACTCCATCTTTTTTGACGAGACGAGTGCGTGAGGTGCGGAGGACGGATGAGCGAGCATTTTCCCCCCTCCAGTCTATCATCATCATCCCGGAGAAAAGAGCAGATGCTCATGCATGTCACGCGTGATGCCATGCTGGGATAAGCAAGCCTCTTCTTCCTTTTGGAATTTGGAACCGACCCCACATAACACCGTAGAATTTTTTTTATTTTTAACACTTTTTTAAACTAATTTTAAATCTAACACTGTTTTAATTTTTTTTCTCTAAAACTAACACTTTTGGCCGCGCCTATTTTTCTGGTGCGGCGAAACAACTGTGCCGCGCCATGCTTGGTGGCGCGGCGATGGAATAACGTGGCGATGATCGGGGCGCTGACCGGTGACGTGGCAGGTTTTGTCGCGCCACCGATCTTGACGCGGCAGTGCCGCGCCATCTCTAACAGCGCGGCTGTCCCAGGTAAATATCGCCCGCGAGTCGCCCTCCCTCTATCTGCCCGCCCGCCCGCCCGCTGGTTGCTGAATCTTTCTTGACATACTACGCCAGTCGTGGGATAACATAGTGGCGTACAGCTGGGGCAGCGCAGTCCTTGTATGGACGTATCGACAGCTATGCATTGTCTGTCGTCGCACCTCAGGGTATGCGAACCTTGGAGGTTGCTCCTACCTACTTTAGGTTTGGTGTTGGGAACGATGGCCCGTTGGAAGGCCCCTTGTTACTAGTTTTCCTGTAAATACTTCGGTTCACTATATTCTTCGAGGCAGTTACATATGATGAAATTATTATTGGTTAATTTATTATCATGTTCAATACAGCATTAGAACGGGCAGGATACACTCCCTACAACTCTGTATATCTAGACACAAGTAGAGTTAGTTAGAGAAAATACGAGGCACAAGTACAGGGAGTACACAAACTGTCTCGACATCCTGACACAGCACCAGGTTACACTCTCTTTACTATCATACATGTGTCTTGTTCGATGTACACTATATAACAACCTAACTCAATTACGAAATGTGCATTGGTGTCCTTGGGATGCTCCGGAGCTCCAGGACTATCTGAGTCCTGTCACTAGAGATGAGTCAGACGAATATCGCTGCAACGTCCCTTTTATTTTATTCCACGTGGTCGAAATTCACTTGCCCATCAGAGTTTGCAGGCAGTTTGGAAGAATGACAGGCTACC